ATGGGAGCAGATGCAGAGTCCCACAGCCAAACATTAGGCAGAGCTTGAGGAATCCTGAAGATGAGGAGGAGAAAGGGGGAAAGAACAGGAGGAATCAAACGGGTCAGGAAAACCAGGAGAACATGGCCCGCAGAATCAATTGACTCATGGGGACTCACAGAGATCAAGGAGCCTGTAGGGGTCTCACCTAGGTCCCCTGCATATATGTTATGGTGAAGTAGTTCAGTATTCTTGTGGGACTCCTAACAGGGGAACAGGGCCAATTTCTGAGTCTTTTGCCTTCTTATGAGACCCTTTTCCTCCTACTGGGTTACCTTGTCCAGACTTGGTGTGACGGTATGTATCTGGTTTTATTGTAGCATACATATTATGCCATGTTTGGTTGATGTCCCTGGGAAGCCTGCTCTTTTCTGAGGGGAGATGGAGGGGCCATGAATGTGGGGAAGAGGGAAAGTGGGAGGGGAGACTGGAAGGAAGGGAGGGAGGGGAAATTGTGGGAGGCATGGACTGTATGAGAGAAAAATTTTTTAAAAATGTAGAAGACTGAAATCCCCCAAGGAAGATTTCCTTTTATTGAAATGTTAAAATATAATTATCAATGAAAAGTGATACACTGGCATGTTCAGAAGTAATAGAGGGAGGGAATCTGGAGTCAGAACAGAAAAGCAAACTCAAGTTACACCCACAAACCTAATCAAGATGGGAGAAGTCATGCATTGCAAAGCAGATTCTCGAACGGCATCAGGCACATGACATCAGATCAGGGAACGCAAGCGCTGAATCTCAAAACAAGAGGGAAATGAGAAGACCAGGCCTGAGAGAGCAGTCATCACAACATCCACCGCACACAAGCTCCCAAAATGAAGCTAGCTGAGCCAAGAAGATTGAAATACTTCCTCCTCCTGACTGTGGCCAACACAGCCTCCAAGTGAGTTGTGACTAGATTAGCGAAACTAGAGACCGGGAGAGCAGCAGTGACCGGCTGACAGTACACATGGCGCTTTTCTAGAAGAGACAGTGTAACTTCAAAGGCTAAGAAGCCATGGAGTGGTTTCGAAGGGCAGCTCCCCTGTTTTTAGTCTGTGATCTTGGGAACGTCATTTCACCCCTCTCCCTGGTTTTAGTTTCTCAAAGAACATCAAGGAAAAACAGTATTTCATAGTTCTAGTTGTCAAAAGAGATGATCTTGACTAATAATGTAGTATGAAATAACTACCTCAATACTAACTGTGTTAAACATGAAAATTACAGAGTTAACTTATTAGATCTTAGTGCTGGAGTTTGATATTTGCATCTGATTTCACTTTTGGTCCTTCATACAGTCTCTTAGGATAATGTTTGATCCCTGGTGATTCCCTAAGCATCTGTGCAGCTCATTGAGATATGCTTGTGGGGGGGTGTGTGTAACACCACAGTGCAGTTTATTGTCTGTAGAGATAACTCTAGCTGTGCAGACCCATTGTTTTAAAAATAAAGAAGTCATAAACCAATTTGCCATCTTGCTGTAAACACTATTCTGAATTATTTTCCTTAACCCCCAAGACAGTTAAATAGATATTCCCTCTGTGGCAACTCTTGCATTATGTCAGTCAGAGATTTTCTTTCCCCAAATGACTAGACACATTGCTTTGGTTCCACCAAACCACGAGACACAAAACCACAGTCTAAGACTCAAACCCTGTGTGGTGTGGAATGCTGAAAAAAAATTACTGCCAGGCCAACATTTTGTTTGATGTTTCCAACTCCCTCTTCTTCCAAATGACTTCACAAATCACTACCCCCCCCCCTTTTCCAGGGATGAAAAGCATTGGTAACTTTCCCTGTTGACCTGAAATGTCTATAACTTAAAGCCATGATAATGAGAAACAGGAAAAAGGGTGCTCACTACAAGAAGCTCAAACTCAAGAACAGATTAAACAGTCCTTTTGTGATTTTTTGATCTAGTACTGCTGCTGTGAGGTAATGGGTCCACAAAAACAATCTCAAAGCCCAAATAGCTACATGATATGGATGAAAGCAGGGTTTTGTTCTTAAGTCACAAGCAACTCAGAAATATGCCCAATAATTTTGGAACTCGAATGAATAATTTTATGCACTACTAAGCTGAGTATTTGTCTCCTAATTTAACTAAAAAGGAGTCAAATTAAGAAAATGAGTTTCATATTAAAAGCCCAAAGTCTAATCTTGAGGACTGAGTCATTTTATGTAGGCATTCCAATATCATTTTTGAGACTCAAAGAAAGAAAATAATCATGACATACATGAAATTATACACAAGATATATGTTGCATTTAGCAGTCCCATAGGTAATAGTTAATATGCTGAGTGTATATAAGTGATAATATTTCATTTCATCTTTCCAATTCACCTGCAAAGTAATTGCCATTTATATCTATAAAATAAGGAAAGCCAAGGGGACAACCCATTTTCTCTCAAGTGCCTATTTTCTTAACCACTGTATTAATTCTGGAGAAAGTTTCAGTCCATGGTGTGTTTTCATTTAAGACTCATACTGAAAACCACACTCATTTCTACAACCATGGTTTGTAGCATATACAACAGTACATCAGCTCCCATATGTAACCATGGTCTCCCATGAGCAGATCAGTCTACTCACACCTTATGAGCTGCTCTAAGAAGGATATAATGAAGAATCTGAATATTATGGTATCATAATATCAGAATCACAATGATGCCAATATCAATATTATATGCCAGCTGTTAGCAATGGTCAATATCACAACAAACAGATGACTCGTTTCTGTTGATGGTTCATTCAGAGTGATCACTGGGATCAAAACTGAGAAGCTCGTTGCTTTAAAGGAGCCATGAATGGTGAGGATCTTGAATATAATGAAGCCAAATCAAAGTTGAGCTACATGTAAAGAGTGATGTATCAAAATAGGATACTTGTGGGGAAGTTTCTGGTTTTGGTTGATCTTCCCTGTCAACATAACTGGATTTTCAAGCACTTGGGTATGCCTGAGGATGTTTCCAGAGGGGTATACCCGAGGAGGTTAGACCCATTCTGAAGGTGCATGGCACTGTCCTGTGGACTTGGGTCTCAGACTGAACAGAAAGGGACAAAGCAAGCTCAGTGCCAGGACTCGCCTGTCACTACTTCCTGACCACAGACACTCTGAGATCAGCCACCTCTGTACTCCTTCTGCTGTGTCTCTTCTGCTGTAATAGACTGTGGATGCTCAAACTGGAGGAAATGAACCCATTCCACCTCCAGATATTTTTTCAAGTATTTTGTCATAGTAACGATAAAAGTCACTAATGTATCACCACAAGACACCAAGAACAGATATCACTAGCCTTTATATATGGTGCATTGCTGGACAGTAGAGAGGATCTAGAAAAATGTAGAAGCACAAAATGATTAAGAAGGAAACAGTCGGTAAGCAAGGAGTATGTATGTGATCCTCAGACTTTCTCAACCATTGGTAATGTTTCTAAGGGATCACTATTTTATTACTAGGACAAGTTACTGAGGCCATTTCTCTGCCCCTACAGAGCTAGAAAGTGTAAAATAATGCTGTGTGAATATAAAACATCTCCATGGGAAGTAGGGAGAGACAGAACAGGAAGGTGCCAAGAACTGGAACTTTACCCTTACTGTGTTTCTTAAAAACAAGAATTATGTATCTAATGGCCTCCCTTACTTGAGTCTTATATTTCCAAAATCATTAGTACAGTTGAAAATCTTCCAGGAGAATCAGAGACCCCCTCCACCCAACAGTTCCAACCTTATTTCCAAGGTATTTATCTTAATAATAACACAGTTCAGTTATTGTTAAAACACCATCCTGGACATCTTGCACCACCCTGGACCATTTACAGTATTCTATATTAAAATTTCAGGGCATATTCAGCAAGAACAAATAGTGTTCAACAGAGAGCTAAGGGCAAGGAACCAGGATCACAACAGGTCTCAGGAGGGAAGAAAATTAGTTTCCATGAAACAAAATATCAAGCACATAGGGCCATAATTTTCACCTAAAGGCTTAAGATAATGGAACTAAAATGGTTTGTAAAAGATTCATTTTTCTTCACTTGTGTTTAAAAAAGCAGTTTGAGCATGACAAAAAAGTTCTTGTACATAATATACAGAAAAGAAAATATAATTTAATGACATTCTATACTTGTAAGTTTGAAGAGATGTAAATATTTAATTATCTGTGAAAATTAAGCTGCCACATCCTTTTTCATGAAAAACAAGTTCTGTTTTATTTCTAGTTTCACCTCACTGTGGAGAGAATGTTTTTCGTTTTGCGTTATTTTTCTAAAGAGACGTGAAATAGATGATGAAGTGAGAACCAAACTTCCTGAGAACACAAATACAGTTGTCATGCACACACTGCATCTTCCATGGTGATTGACATTCATTTGTAGTTAGTACTTTCTTTCAGACACTGGGGAGTAACTCCTAGTGGATTTTTGAAACTAAAACAAAAGAATAATCTGTTACCTTTGCTGTCATCAACATCTCTAGATTATGGTCTAGGGCCAAACTCTACTTTCTGGCCTCCAGATGTTAATAATTGGGAATCTGATGGCAGAATGGATGACTACTGACAGAAAAATGGCAATAGATGACACATATGGGTGAAGCCTACAGTCTCTGAGGTCAGACAACGTGCAGTCAATGCCCAGGCTCTGCCCCTCCCTAGCTTTGCGGCCCTGGTCAAGTGGCTCAGCTTATAGAAGCTCAGTGTTCTTATAGTTGTATAAGACATAACCGTAGCATCTCCTCTTAGTGGGGTTGTGAAAGTTTAATGGGATATCCCATAAAACATTCTTGGCACAATGAATGGCACATTGGAAGCTCCTAGGAACTGCTAGCCACTGTTATGATGTTAGTCATCTGAAATGCACATGCTGGATTTGCCATTCTGACAAACATTTAGACCAAATAGTTTCACAGTTGATCAACATGGAAAATCACAACTCGGTGTCAGAAAAAAAAAATGCAACCAATGGACATGAAAGCTTACAGCCTACATCCAGAGTTAGTCTGCCTGTTGCTCTTCCAGCATCATTGGTGGCTGCACAGGTATAATCACCAGCATCCAGATCTTGTGTTTCTTGAATCTTTAAAAGTCCCATGAGAGGGTCAATACTGAGGAATGCTGAGGGCCTCAATTCAAGATCTCCTAAATGAAAACAATGGGAAGAACATTAAACACAGAAATTTTTACATGGTTTACACTGCCGCTGATATGATTTTGAAATTTCTGAATAAGGATGATTGCAATGTTTCAAATTCCAGTTGCACAACAGAGATGTTTTACTTTCTGTGGTCCAGAACCTGGACCTGTAATGAACTGTATACAGCTGCTTCCTCCATCATTGACATCCAAATAAGATTGAGCTCTTGGGAGCTACATGGAAAGCTGGGGCAGGCTTAAAACCTGAACAGTGGCTTTGATCTGTAAAAGTAGAGGTAGGAAGGTGAGGGTTGAGAGGCTTCTATTATCATTGTGGCATGAGGCATTTCAGTGATTTTGGAAGTGCTTGAGGTATCAACGGTTGATACTTTATTTAGCTTGATTCTTTATTGAATGGCATCAGTTATAGTTTGTCTTGTGATAAGTCTAAACTGGCTGAGAAATTCATATGAATGGCCAAGGAAGAGGGCTGGTTGGAAAAAGTAAGTGAAAGTTTACTGAGAAAATAGAAAGAATAGTTAGTTTATATTAGTCACTTGGGTTACCTCAGCTAAAATCTCATTCATTAAAAATTTAAATTTGAAGTAATAGTGTGTTTGGAGAAAGCAGATAGGGATTGCAGTGCAAGGACAGGATGAACTAAGAAAGACTAGTTAGATCTGGATTGCCTCTATATGTGGTATGTCCCAACAGAGCCTCTGATCCTCCAATAAAGATCCTTCTTTATTATAGAAGTTGGTAACACCTCCAAGAGTCATAAGGAAGTTTATGCATGCATTCTGTGCTTTCCATCTCCCAAATGGTCTCACAGCCAAAGAATGAAAATAACTACAATGACCAGTAGATTTAAAAAGCACATAGCATTGGATATATAATGCCACTTAGTGCATTTTTTGTTTCATTTGTTGTGTTAAGGATAATACAAAGTACGTGAGGATCTTAAAATCCCTCAGGAGGTTTGGTGGCCCATGATCTTAGGGTTTAATGACATTCTCCAAATCTGAAAGTTGCTTTCTAAAATGTCACACATCAGTCATGTACCCTGGAACTGAAGATCACATACAAAACACCTTGCTTTAAATAGGCAAAGAGCCCAAGAGCAAGTAGCTCTCTAAAAGGATGCTACAAACAGTACCAACCAATGAGATGTAGCAACATGTAGACAATTCTCTTTTGTTTATATTATTTTCTGAAGAGAAGATGTCAAAGAACTTCTGAACTTGAAAACAACAAAATTCCAATAAGTAAGCAACTGTCAGTGCTTCAAACAAAGAATTTTCCAGAATTCCAATATTTCAACCCCCTAGGCAGGCTTACACTTGCTACTACATACTCTACTCGCAAATGAGAAAGGCAGCAAAAATTTTGTCTAAGTGCCTCTGGGAGATTTTAATAAACAAAAGCAGATGATGTTGACATAACTATCCTCCTACCAGAGGAGGATGCAGTGTGACCTCGATGTTCTTCAAGCGTTAGACTGTTTGGACTAAGATGCATTTAGAATTTTGTAATTTACTTCTTGCTTTTAGCTTATTCCTGTATGTCAAAAGACACCATCTGTGTCAGAAGATGAAATAAAGACCTTGTACTGGGAGCTTTTGTTCCAAGTAAAAAGGTTGAAGGAATGATAGTCACAAAAAAAAGAAAAGAAGAAAGAAAGAAAGAGGAGGGGAGGAAGGAAGGAAGGAAGGAAGGAAGGAAGGAAGGAAGGAAGGAAGGAAGGAAGGAAGGAA